CAAGTAACAGGTCCTGTAATCGGTCTCACGGTGCCAAACGTTGGTTGACACAACTGTACCCCCATGATCTGGTGCAAGGATATGCTACAAAAGGCATCAGACGAGATTCCAAAGCACAAGATAGCGTCCAGGTTTTCATCACTACCATATAGTAAAACTGGCAGTATAAGGGCCTTGAAAGACACGTATTTTGGACTTCTTCACAGGTACCAGCATTCCAAAAAATAACTCTTGTCGAGAGATTTCATGACCCCTTCTGCCAGGCCAATCCTCCTAATTACTTCTTGGTCTACAGCCCAGAGTCATAAACTGCAACTAGTAACCGAGGTAATATAAAAACTCTCTGTGACTTCGATGGTTTTCACCGCAAACACGTACCGACTGCACAGTGTTCCTAGTAGGCCCCCCAAAAATCCTGGATCTTAGTTCTTGGTCCCAGGAACCTCCTAGCCCCAGGGGCTTCTCTCCATGCTAAATGCCTCAAGAGACGCTTATAGGGTTTTCCGAAGATTTCAGATAGAATGGCAACATATCAGCAAGTCAAGGTTCTGTAACCTTGATATTAACCATAGTTTTGCTCCACATTGACTTTGGACAGTAGCTCTACCCGTATCACAATCCATGCAGTATTGTGAAAAGGTTTTTGGTGGAAGAACACAGCCATGCTTCACACCTAACCAAACAGGGAAGAAGCTCAACAGGCCCCGACACACTTTACAGCATTTTTCAGTGCCTTGTATAAGGTTTGCTATTAATCCAAGCAATCCTTTGTTGGAGTTCCTTTTAGCCTCAGGATCTCCCAGAGTGATTTATCGAAATGGGATGGTACCAATACTGCCAGATTGCAGACAGTGACAGCATCAAACCCCTTGCCATTAGGGTTTCTTCACCAGCCTCACAGTATCTGTTTGTGTGTGTTGGTGTATCTATATAAATATTATATATATATATATATGTGTGGGTGTGTTGTCTGTTTGTGTTTGTGTGTTGTGTGTGGTGTGTGTGTGCGTGTGTGTGTGTAATTATACATTTGCTTCATGTAGTATATGATACATATATATTATGCATCTATATATATATTATATATTAGATAAGATAGATATATATATCTATATAATATTATTTGTAATATATATATATACAATTTACACCACACACCACACACACACACACACACCCAACACACACCACACACACACACACACACACACACACCACACACTCACACACACCCACATTCTACACTAATATGTGTGTGTGGTGTGTGGTGTGTATAAATTCCTATACATACTGTATATCTGTGACAGATACAATTAATACATGCTATTTATAATATATGTATATAAATGTATATATACATATATCCTATAGATATACGCGTGTTATTATCTATCTATACACATATATCTCACCATATATCTGTTATCTATCTATCTAATCTATTTATCTGTATTGTATTAGTGTATATATGTGTGTGTGTGTGTGGATGTGTGTGGTTTGGTGCTGTTTGTGGTGTGTGTTGTGTGTGTGTGTGTTTGTGTGTGTGTGTGTGTGTGTGTGTCTGTGTGTGTGTGTGCTGACTATACGCCTACGCGTAGTCTCCGTGCACCTGCACAACAAAAGCACTGAAGGTGCGGGCAAAGCACAAAATGATCTGTAATTACAGGTTTTACTTTACGTCGATTTACGTTAGAAAAACACACATGTCAGCGGACGAGAGGCCCGGGCTCCAGGGTACTCTTGTGGCACAAGACTTTGTGTTTTGTTGCACTTGCGTTATGGGCAGGTGTTTCCCTCTTCAGAGTTCATACACGAATGAGTAACAGCTTTTTTTTTTTTACTGTTTGTTGGATTTCTTGGCTATCAACGGAAGCGGCATGTGGCCAAGGTTATTAAGCCAATGGATCCTATTTATTCTATTCAATCTATCTAGAGGCCATTGTACTCCCTTAAAAACAATTACTTTATATTTTTTCCTTCATTTGATAGAAGATTGATATTGCTAAAAATCCTTTTTTTTCTGAAATAGTTTATGATATGGTTTCGTTGATTATTGTATTTTGCAGGAATGTTAGGATGTGGCTTATTGTTTATGGTTGTACTGCTATTTGCCATCGTGGAGGGTATATCTTTAGGCCGTTGACCCTAAGGCGGGCCAACACCACCCTCCTCCGCTTTCTGATTTTCCCGTGGGATGTGCCCCACGTTCTATGTGTTCTTGATTTTGTTCCTTGGAACCGTCTGTGTATATATTGAAAAAAGGTGAGATGTTTAATTAGGATCTCTCAGAATAGATGGCCTAACTTGTGCTCTAAGTATCCAATGAGCCAATTACGAGTACTGGCCCTGTCTCGCTCGTTTCCCTTTACATCATTACGAAATATTTAACATTATCCTAAAATAACACCATCTATATTTATAGCACTAGTAAAAATAACGTTTTTTTCCCCCATTCAAGAAAAGGTGAAATCAGGAACCTAGCAGAGCCATCTATGGACGAGATATTTTCAACAAAAATTAAAATAGTACTGCCATTTTCCCACATTTTTTGTCATTTTCCCCGGTGGCAATGGGTTAGGTCATTTACTATAGATCTAAGACTTTCGGACAGTTTCCACTGTATAATGGTCGTCGCGAGGATTACGTTTTATGTGATTTGGAAGTAACCTTGTCCGACCAATTCGAATTTTCTTTTTAATGGGAGGAGCGCTTTCCCGGGACCTCTCCCGGGATGGTTTGGAGACGAAGCCTCCATGTCTGCACCTCCTTGGCGAGGGAGACGACTGCCAGATTGCGATCTGCTTCTCTCTCGAGAAACCGATCGCGACCCAGGACGAATCCTCACAGGGTTAGCCCGGACGGGAAGTGCGCTCGGACTGTGATTCGGTATCATTCTCCTTTTGATTGTTATGCTGGGTGATGCAGACATTTGATACGACCAATTTAGTCAGCTGATAAAACTTTAAATACTCCATTATTTAACGGTTTGTTTGAGTTCGGCAATTTCCTTATCATTAGCTGCAAAAGCTGTTTAACTGATATCACTTGTACTAGAGGTGTTGTTAGTTCTGCGCAGATAGGAAAGATCGGGTTTGCTGTTGTTCAAAATTTCCAATTTCATGCTTTCTCATATATGTCATGATCTCAGTCTCTTCTTAGGATGCTGCACTCAGCAGATCCTGACTGATGGGGCCTCCACAGTAGACATTGGGAAATCTGGCTCGTACATGTGGTGGTGTCATGGGCTTCAGCACATTTACGGCAAACAAATTTACTTGAGTCTTATACCATCTTAATGATGTGTGTCAAAATTTTTGGCATCGCTTTACAATGTACGGCTTTCGACATCAGGTATTCTTGAACACGCTCATAACCGGACGTTGGCCTACTCGGGATTTATGCAAAGTAGAACAATGAAGGGAGGTCGACATGGAATCCACATTGGGATTTTATTCAAAGCAAAGGTAAAAAAACACAGTCACGTATTCGCACATTCCCGTCCGTCTGGGTCAGCAATGAATCGTTCCATAGTCTTGGTCTCATGCTCTCGAGAATTTCACGTTCTTTCAGCGTCTCCAATCCCTGTGAATGATTATCCCTTACAGGTATTTGGGCCAATAGGAAAGAGTACTTAACCGAAGATCCTGAATTTGCGTCGCTAAGGAAAATCCTTAATCGGGAGTATAATTGTATTTTAACAAGAGAGGCTTTCCATTGCAATTTTTTTACAAAATCAAAAGTCGCCGTAAATTGACCATCAAGAACCTTTTGTGATAAAGGATTTAACGTTCCAAAAAGCGATTGATTTCATTCCACGCATTTCCATTCGCGAACCTCGCATTATGAGGGGGATTTTGGAAAAGTAGCCGTTCGTTTTGTCATTAGTTGGGGCCGTTGTTCTAGTCGAAGAGTGGTCATGAGTCGCCCCTCTCCTTGGAAGAGGAGAAGGGGTAGGCAGAGGTATCACTCATTCTGGGTATCGGACCAAGGTTCGACCCCTTGTCTCAAAAATTTTGTACTGACGGGATCAAAAAACTCTTTGGTTCACCTAATAGCAATAGCTAAGAGAGTAAAGCAGTTTTTCCGTCCTTACCCCCCCCCCCAGTGGAAGCCTGGCTGCATTCTACAATACCACTGAGTGATGAGTATGTGTGAGGACACTTCATTACCGCCGAATTGCCTAGGCGAGGGACGGTAATGTCAATGTTTAGACTTTTTGTTTTTTTTTTATTTTTTTTTTTTTTATTTGGTGGCTTATTTGGATCAACAGCGGCATGTGGCCAAGGGTATTAGCCATGGATCCTATTATTCTATCAATCTATATAAGGTCATAACGTTGGTGTCTCCTTAGAAAAAA